GGCCCCCCCGGCCGTTTGGGGGGGGGGGGTGGTTCACCCCCACCCCGACGATTTGTGGAGGACAAAACTGGAGGAACTATCGGATAATTACAGTCCGGATCCTCTCACCCGACAAGGAACTTAAGGTGAATACATTGCAATTGCTCAAACATGAAGCAAGGTGAATACATTCCAGAGCGTTTCTGAACATCGACCCGTCAACTATCAAGCCTCAGGTCAATGCGGGCTTGGCAACCCTGTCCTGTCCGGTGCTCTCTGGCCGAGTAGACCATAGGTCCTCACAAGCCAGACTTCGGTACTTAAATCTACTCCCACCTTTGACAAACACCACAGGGTGCCTCTGACATTCCTTGGACAGCAATGTAAACTAATTATTGTATTATATTATTATATATAGTAGAGTCATGAGAGGCTGAATTGCAAAAGTGAGTGAGATGCAATGACTTAATTGCAGTTGTTTGCGCAGAACACGAACATGGAGTCTGGATGTCCATAGATTTTCATGTTGACCCTCCACAAACGTTTGCTTTACGATGCTCTACTGTACATGTCGTCATGATTGCCTTCCAACCACAGGAGTCCTCAGTCTCGGGGAGATTGAGGGCCGAGGCCGCCCATTCATGGGCCGGTGGCTGGTGTTTGCAGTTTTCAGGCTACAGATTTCGAGCTTCCAACTTGGAGGCCATCGCTAGTAGGTTGGAGGCCATTTCTTGTAGGTTGGAGGCCATCGATCCTGCTTCGAACCTTAGGAACAAGTAGGCTTAGGTGAGCTGTTCTCTTGGAGTTTGTGCATGTCTCTTGCTTGAAGGCACAGACCACGAGACTTTGCGGATGGCTTGTACATCGTCCGATCAACAGGTGTTGGAAATCTTTGGATCTTTCTGGACACGCACGGATTTGATTCACTTTGCTGTTCTATACACTGTCTAGAAAATGAGGCTGCGGCACAATTGTCACGCACAAATACACACACACACAACTCACCAAACAGGCTTGACATATGCGTGTGGCACAAGCTGATCTGATCAATGATGATCAATGCATGGTATGTACAGTTGATTACATAAATGTATTGTCTTATATTACAATGATTCTTCTTTTGAAATGCCATTTGTATGACATTTATAACATTGTTTTACCTTGTGTCACCTCGTTTCAGCGGTGTTTTGTCACCGACCGGGGGTGGGTTCTTATCACTGGCCCTCACCCCCACCCGCTGAGACTCCGGTGCAACGCCAGAGAGCTGAACCACCAAAGAGGTCCAACCTCAAACAGAAAGTCCAAGGTGGGGACGGTGGGGATGAAACTGAAAAAGTTGACATCGGACTGTACTGCATATACATGGAGAGGATTTCGTTGTTTTCCACAATTTTTTCCAATGACAAATAATACTGAAACAAAAGCATCGTGAACATGTCTGCATGTACAAGTTGATTCTGAACTTCTCAGAGATACATCCTCCTGAACTGAGCAAAAGAACAAGGAAGTACTCGTAGCCATGATTATAGCATAGTATAGTCTTATACAAGGGTGGTCGTTCAATGTCGTGCACAAGTTGAAATTGAAACAAAACATGTTGGACCCACGAATCTGATGCTGTTAGCACTAACGCTGAGACACCCCGCGGGCAGCTTCACTGGGAAGCCACCTCAGCCAGCATGGGCTGATCTGGCTCCGACTTCATTGACCAAACGTCTAGTCTAGTCTCCAAATCAAACAGTGCCATCGCCACTGACAAACAAAGAATGGCTCTCTGCAAAAAGTGTTGATGACCACTGTTCAACAATTACAAATCTTGGTGGACTTGAATAAGAAACAGCACACGTACAACAATGAACTTGCCTTTTATATGTATATATGTATATATTTGCATATATTGTCATATTATATGAACAGCGTCTACTATATGTTGTCTATTGTCATATTGCCTAGCATGTCTTCTATATTGTTGTGAATGAAAAGCGTCTTGAGATCACTCTCAATCCGTTTGGTGCCCAAAATGTTGAAGTGGTGCAAGGTCCCGGCCAAGACTTGTGATTCCCTACCTGCCACAATCTGCAAACATCTTCTGCAACGAGCCCAGGCCCAGGTGTCATTTGTTACTTCGTCTTGACTGCGGCGGTATGAAGCATTGCACAACATTGCACAAGTACACATGGCCCTCGTGTGACATCATGTCAAGTCATGTCAACTGCCTCTCAAAGACTCCTGTTGCAATTGTATCAAACCGCTTGACGTGCAAATTTCTGCCTCAAAGGCCACACGAACCTGCCCAACTTCCTGCAGAACGAGCCCCGAGCGAACTTTAACAAGTACAAGGCAAGTGTTTCTGGTCAACTTCCTGAACATCTCTTAGCCATTCTCAGCACAATTGAAATCGAAGCACTCTGTGTTTGGGGCTCTTCCAGGAGCATATCGGGAATACTTGATTGCTCACTGCCACTCCTCTGCCTGCTGCTCCACGACTTGGATTCCGGACAAAGGCTTCTCCCGAACCCTTGCAGCGCCCACGTCTAGTGCACCTCAAAGATTCAATCAACGGTTCAATCAATAGTTTCAATCAATGGAACAAAAGTCCAAGCACCCGCTTTAGGTTTGCACCATTGCATCCTTGATTGTGGAAACTGTGGAAACCTACTGACTGACTACTGACAAGTCACTGAGTCAAAGTACGTGAACTTATTGATAGAACAACCAATGAACTCTAGTAGTTGCTTCTAGTGAACCGCTGCCTGGGTGTTGGCTGAGCCATTTGATAAATGTTAGTAGAAAAACACATATGGTTTGGGATGCCGGCGCGTATTCCACTTGGAGATTCTTCAGGAAGCAGCTTGCGTGGGCCTCACTGGGCGTGGAAAAAACAATGCAACCAGCACAAACCATGCCTGATCATGCATGTAGATTATAAATTACTCCCACACAATGATTCAATGATTGACATGAGAGCCACCTGAATTTGCAACAATCAGTTCTTGTGGTAGTTGTATACACAAAACAATGTCGACACTTTTTTCGGTTTGCACCGTTGCCTTCAACAACATGATTTGCCTTGAGATGGTGAACAGTGAACTCCAACACGTGAATCTCGAATCTCAACGCAATTTGTGTGGTTTGTAGTAAAATGATGTCAACTAAGTTGCGCGAAACCTGGTTGTGGTGGTGGGGTTCTAATACGCGATATGTATAGGTCATTTCCCGCCGCTTTTGTGACCCATGTTTTGACTTGCGCGGGCTTCATTTCCATAAGTACTCTACCTTTTTACCACCTTCGCAGTGGAGCCCTCGTTCTTCAACGTGCAAATTGTTAACAAACATGTCGTGCAAAATTTTTTTTCGCAATTACTTTCGCGACAACATATTATGCAAGTATATATAAATATAAATTGTGCGAAGTTTCCTCAAGGTTTTCGCACCCTGGGGTTTTTGCTTTCACGGGCCAGTACACTCAGCCGCGAAAGTCACGGCATACTATGAAAAAACTTATGTTCCCCAATGTAAACGTGATGCCAAGAGGGGGGTCCCGGCATAGTCCTTGCAAAAACGTTGTTCCCGCACGTAAACGCGATGATTTGTGAATGTTTTTGGTGTGTTCTCCCCAACACAGTTTCCATGTATTCAAAAAATGTTCCCGCATGTGAACGCAATCATTTAGAAATGTCATTGGGCCATGTTGTGCAAAAACAAGGTACCCGCACGTAAACGCGATGATTTGGCAATGTTTTTGATGTGTTCTGAAGTTCCATCCGAAGCGCAATTTTCATGTACTCACAACCAGCTTCTGGCATGGAAGCGCAATGATTTAGCAATGATGCTAATCTCCTTGTGGTCCCTTGACATCTCTTTGGACCAGGCTCTGGAATGCTCTGGACACTTTACTTGAATCACACAAGTTGCAGAGAGGTATCGGAACAAGGATGAACGAGAGGGTGAACGAGGTCAGAACCCGTGCCACCAAGGAAAGCCTCAGAATGAAAACCTCTAGTTACCTCACCATGTGTATGCTAATGGGCTTAAAACCGCGCGTGTAGTGAAACTGATTTTTCATACAGTCCTTTGGGGGGCAAGAACACACACAAACACACGCGTTGGAATATGGAAGATGGGGACACGGGGGGTGGGGTTAGGGGGGAGGGGGGGTTGGGTGGGGGCTAGGGATGTTCATGTTGTGTGAATGTTTATTAGGAAGCCACACACGCACACGCTGTGGAAGAGGGTGGGAGTGAGGGCAGTATGTGGCAGTGAAGTACACTGGACCTGATCAAAAACACCAAGTCCCTCTCTCACGTTCAAGTGTGCGAGCGACGACGAGCACACTTTCTATGGCACGGAGTGCAGGTATTGGGCTTGAGCCAAATGAATTAAGCGGCAGCTGACTGAAGAGAATGTATGTACAAGTAACTGCGGACAAAAGGTGCTACACACGTATAGCGTAGACACGCCTAGGGGAACCTAGGACCCTACAAAACACAGGGGGCCAAAGTTTAAAGACGTTGCATGTTCAGTGCGTCATAGCGCGTACGAAGATAAAGCCAGACACACACACAGACAGGTCGGTACGCGCAGGTGGTTGGGGTGTGTCAGTTCTTTTTTTAAGACGTCGACGCGTGGAAACTTGGCTTGGTGGTTACCGACTGCTTGTTTATTCCGAAGTTTTTCTGTTCGGGGGATTGTCAGATGCTTGACGTCAGGAGAGCTGCTCATCCACACCGGTGCCATTGATGGTATGTGGCGTTTGTGTAAGGAGCCGGTCCCCACCACCAGAATAAAGACGATCTTCTGACGAAGCTGGGTCAGAAGTTGTCCCACAGACTGTGATGATGATGCTGGAGGATGAAGAAGCGCGCCTCTTTTTGGCACGAAACCACAGTTTCGTAGCACTTCGATGTCAAAATCGCAACGATTTTTGAGTTGTTTTCATGTATGCTCTCGCCTCTGTCCTTCGTTCTTTCTTTCTTTCTTTCCTTCCTTCCTTCCTCCTTTCCTGTCTCCCCGCTTGTCTGCTGTGATCGGCGTTTTGTCTGCCGCTGCTGCCTTGTCTCCTTACTTGTTTCCCCACCTGCCTCCCCACTAGTTTGCCTGTGCGATCGGCGTTTTTCTTGATCGTCGTTTTGTTTGCCGCTGCTGCCTTGTCTTCTCCCCCACTAAACGTAACATCGCCACGACTTCGATAGATTCAATTTCCCAAGCAAACGCTTCAAAAAGTGAATGTCGCCGCGACTTCAACATTTGAGAGTAACCAAATGCAGTTGTTTGCAGCAAAGCCTAGAGCGCATCAAAAGTGATCTCAGTCTGCGCAGTGTCGCTAGTGATTTGCTGGTTTGACTTGGCTCTTGAATCTGACACATAGCCTCGGGCCCAAAGAAGCACAGACCGGCCACCAGCATAACCTGCCATCAAATTGCAATTCAAAAAGCCGCGCAAAGCTTGAGAGCAACTTGCGACGCAAGTTTGATAACTGCAAACTATGAAACATGCACGTGTGGGTCCTACTTGCTACAAAACAGTGCAGCTAATTGAGTCACGTCATCTGAGTCACTTCATCACAACATTAACAACTCGCTACTTTTCTGTGTGCGCGCAGGCTATGCGTGGCCCTGGCCATGACGATTCACCCTGGCGAACCTTGTAGTCCGCAGCGCACGCTCTTTTTCTCGACAGTCATCCCACAACTTCGACCTGAGCCCCTAGTAGCGTCCTTGCTACTAGTGGCGATGCCAGGAGCCCCTAGCGTCCTTGCTCCTAGTAGTAAGGCCTGAGTCTGCCAATGTTGTTGGTTGGCAGGGTGCCTTGCAAAGCAGCTTTCCCATAGTTTCAGGACGCTCATTCTCCACAAAGTGCTTTGGCTCGCACGTGCAAATGTTGCATCTTGGAAAAAAGAACAAACTTGTGCACATAGCTTCAGTCTCTCACACAAATCTCTGGGGCGCCCATCACACTGACCGGCTAGTCTTTGCCTCTTCGACAATGACCCGAGCACTTGCACCAGCAGTGGCGCCTGGTGGAGGCTAATTCTGTTGGGCTGTCAAGCAAACCCTCCTTTGTCAACGCTACCGTGCTACGCCCGTAGAACTGTTATCTTTGGAGAAAACTTATCTGAACAAACACTAAGTGACTATGTCTCTATATTTATACATACTGTATACACATAGTATTAAATAACATTTGTATGTATATGTATATACTTGTATATATATAATAAGTATATAATCGATTTTAGACGCGCTCAACACGGCTCTACAAGCACAAGCAATTTTTCACGCGCCAACAACCTTTCCTGTGAGAGAACATGGATCTCACTGCGGAAGCTTCCGTTCAAACCTACCCGTTGCGTCCTTCTCTAGGGACTCCAGCAGCAGCCAGCGCCGCAGAGACACTTTCGCCTTCCAAAGCTCTAGCAGCAAACCTTACCTTCCTACCACCTAACCTGCAACTAAGAACAACCTCTTTCCTTTCATTCTGTTCCTTCTCTTTTTGAAGACATCTAGGAATCAAATGTATAGCGCAAGCGTGAGCTATCCTGCCGTTCGCTAGTACTGTAGCGTCCAGTACCTAATAGTGCTACGGCGCTACCTGCTAGCTTATACCTTAGCGGCCTACCCTGCGATACCCTCCCCCCCAAAAAAGAAAAAAGTGTTGGGCACTCTGAGCAATGACCAACTTGGTGTTCCTAGCCCGTGGTCTCTCTAGCCGCCCACTTTCAAAGACCTGTCATCTCTCTACCCGCCCACTTTCAAAGACCTCTTTGTGGCAGTGCTCACATCCCCCCTTGGTAGGTATTCTTTGACGGGTTCTTTGACTTATTATTCCGGTGTTTTTGGAATTCATATGAAAATATATTTCTGCTAAACACCGACCACACCAAACAAGGTTACTTGGATAATAACTCCCAAAACAAATATTCTCATTCTGATTCATTCTTCCTAGACCTTACCCCACACCTGGAATCAGTGAAAATACCCCTCTGCACGAAGGCTTATTAACAAGATGTTTTCATTCATTAACAAGAGACCAATATAATTCAGGCGCTCTAACTATATATTTCTTTTCTCAGTTGCTTGGGTAGTGCAACTCAAGGAACCCGGTCCGGTTACAAAAACTTTGCAGAACACAGTTTCCCAAAGGCCCTGTGCTATTAGTGCTAAATAGTGCCAGTATTGCTTCTTCGAGGCCTCCACTGCCATTTTCCACCGCTGGTCCTGCTCCTAGAGCAAATCATCACGCTCGACCCCGCTACTAGCATGCAGTTTGCAATTCGCAGAGCCGCAATTCCTGTCTGCTCCTTACTACAAATGCATGAAAAAACAACAAGGAACCCAGTGTTCGATCTGACTTGCGTCCTTATCTCCCTCATAGTGCACACGCCACATTCTGTCACATGTTACAGAATCCTTCTACGCCTTCTATAAAGGACTCAAACGGAAAGAAACACCTGCAACCTCTAAACACATGCATTCAATCCGGTGCAATAGCCAACCTTTGAGTTTGAAGTCGGATGCGTTGAAACTTGTGTGGCATGTGCTGCCTCCAGCTTCTTCACCTTCAGCGACCAAATTGGGACCTGCCGTGAAGGCAGTCCAATGAAGCTGAGCGTAATCCGCCCAACTCCAGGTACACGTATTGTACTCACACTTATCCACCACGACCCTAGGTTCATTCAAAGATACCTTGGGTATTCCATGCACTGCAGCATACTGTAGCATACTGTAGCATGCCAAGTATCCCATACAGTGTTTTTAATTGGTTGGAGCGGAACACTCAAACACACCAAGTTCTATATAGTTTAAATGCCAGCAGGCAAACTCAATCGGCATACAGCACCCCTCCACCTTCACGCCTGCAGCTGGAGCCTCTTCTGCGCCGGCTCGTAGTACGAGTGGTCCTGACAGCAATCGACAACAATCTCTGTCCCAGAGCCCAAGGCTCATCTGGCAAAACATCCTATGGGACCCTGTGGCGAAACACACTTGGATGGTTGCTCGCAAGAGCTAGTATCAGTACGAAGTTCCCCTTGACTGGAAGAAAAGCGCAAACCGAAGGGCGAGGAAGTCCGGAAAGTTGAAGATGTTTAACAAATTGTTGTAGTGCATTAGCCGCTTACTGCAAACCGATGCAATGGCTGGATTTCTTGGGATTTCTTGTTCTAGTTAAGAGCGGGACCAATGAGGAATTGTTCCAGTAAACTGCAGGTACGTCCAGAATGCGTCCCTTCCGGATACCAGTGCCGCCACAGAAACCTCTTCGTTGGACTGTCACTTCTGTGGGGTAGACAGTCCCCCTGCCTCTTTTTCTGCGTTTAGAAACTGTAAGTTAGTAGCGATGCCAGGAGCCCTTAGTAGCAAAACCAGGGGCCCACAGCAAGAACAACTCATCAGCGGGGTTGTCCACACCCTCAATAGCTATCGTGATGAACTTCATCAAGCTTACCAGCCCGATGATCCTCTCCTGCACCCGGGCCACTCCACCGCAGCTTCTTCGGCCCCTCCTGGCCAGACTGCCACTACGGACCCTGTCAGCGAAGGCACCGGACTTCCTCTTCCCCTACCTGATTCAGGATCTATGTCTTTGAACTCTACCTCGACTGAGTCTCAACATACTTTGGAACCTCCCTTTCCTACTGACCGACCTCGAGATTGAAATCGACATCCTTTCTCTCCACTGCAGGTTGAGGCCGTACAAGCTTCCCTGAACTCCGCATTGTCTACGCTATGCAGTAAAAAGTTCCTTGATATCCTCTTTCTCGCTTGTATGCCTTTCGGTTTTTGCTTCTCACTTTCCTACCTGCAATTTTGACTTTTCTCCACCGCAGCCACTGGCTCCTATCACTCCCATTGCTCCACTTGCTACTTTCGTATACTTCACCCTGCTCGATGATTTCTTACACGGGTCTTCGTGTACCTGAGCCTTTGACGCATACGATTCCTACGTCTCGCACTTCTTGGAGTGAAGTTCGTCAACCCATCGAAACATTGGACTTTCTACCGTTCGTTTCGAATTGGATGTTAGCTTGCTCATCTACCAGCCCCTGAACTACATCACAGTGACCCTAGACTGGCAGCAGCTTGAAACCAAGGAGTACACGGTTGATGGCCTCAAAGATGTGATCTACTCCCGCTTAGGGCAACATCGTACGGCCTTTTGGATGGCCCTTCCCTCGACTGGTGATTCACGTGTATGGGAAGTTCCACACACTTGCACCCTTGAAGACCTCGTTCTCTACTTTGTCAACTCACGAAGGGTACGCCCACAGGGACGCGCCACTGAATATCCCCGTGACTCCGTTCCTTTTCCCTATCGACCTCTCCATACAGTCGCTCCCCGCCTTCATGATGACGCCATTGGTCAACTTCGACTTCCAGTGACTGCCTACCAGACCTACCGTGAGATCCGTCGATTCTCTTAGTCTCACTTCACTCTTGGCGCGGAACTTAAAAATCTTGCCTCCCTTCGGGGAGGCGTGTGTGTGTAACCCTTGGAGTCAGAGGGATCCTTTTGGATTTGTTTGCTTTGCCTTTCAACTGTTCTCAAAGCAGGGGGTGCAAGCAGCCCACCCAGTCTTGCACCAACGAAGACACTGGATGTGTGCTGGTGAAATCAATCCGGGACGCTGGATTGACGTACCTGCTTGGAGAGGAACCTACTTAATGGACAAGCTGTTCCACTTCGGTGTTTTGCAGTAAGCGTCTAATGCAGCGGTGAATTTCCTTGAGAGTTTGGACCTTTGGAGCTCCGCTGACTTGCACGACCCGTCGTCACCCTGTCGTCGTCGCTCGCCTTCGTGTTCATAGGTTTGGAGGCCTCTAACCCACTACCTCAAATCTTAGGTGGTTTTACCTAGGCTGGCGTGTGGCACCGCTTTCAGTTCAGTACACCCTATCCTAAGTGTGTCAACCACTGTTCCAAAGGGTGCGACCTTCCTTCGAAGCAGGGGGCATGGCAGCTGTTTCCCTAGCCATGCCAACGAAGCTATGGGATTCAGCCGGAAGGGAATGTGGACGCGCGTTCCTGTACCTGCAACGAGAACTGTTTTCAAGCTGTGACGCCACTTTCCACGCCTTGGTTCATTGTCCTTCATGCTACTTCCCCCAAAACAGGTTTCCTTCAGCCACTTGCAGCCGCCGCGGGCTTTGCAGCACCGCAGTCAAGTGAGAAACACTTTTGTTCAAACATCTACACATTTGCGGACTCTCCACCTTGCCGTTCCCTCACCATTTTTGACCTGTGAATTGAGTAAACGGCAAACCAATGTCAGAGTGTGAGCCGCTCAGCCGTCCCACTTGGGTGCTGGGTGTGATCCCTTCACTGGGGCGCTGAAGCCATTCGGGAAATCATCGTTTCCATTTTTGATAACTGATTCCACTTTCTCCACTTCTATAACTGAATTAACTGATCCAACAGCCGCCGGGCTTAAAAACGGCATTCACACCACTTGAGGCAGGTCTCCCGACCCCCCCCCAACTGTGTTCTACTCCCTACCTAATTAGGGTAACATGGGGAAATGGTACTCGACACACTTGTGTGTCGGTGCCTTTCCCTCTGTTGTCCCTTTTCTAGTCTACTCTACCCGGGCAGTGTAAGACCAAAGTCCCGCTCCCTAACTAGTGCACCTAATTCACTTCGTCTAAGTATTCAGTAATTCTAGAGTGCTAGGTATTCAGACACACACACGTACACACACACACATGGACATACACCCCCTCCCTGCCCCCCCTTTTCCTTCTTGCGCTTTTCGTCGTTTGTTGGGCTTTCTCTCAGGCTTTTTAGGTGGCTCTTGAGGCTCGTTTCCCTACCCCAGTCAAGGGCTAAGTATTCATTTTTTCATTTTTCTACACCTATCGTTCTCTCTTGCCCTCTTAGCGCTGCTCTTTCTGTCTTTCTTTCTTTTGTTTCTAAGCGTTTTTTGGTATCTATTCAGGTTTCTCACGCAAGCGCCGCCAAGCGGCACCGTGTGTGTGTCAAAAAGGGTGCGACCTTCCTTCGAAGCAGGGGGCATGGCAGCTGTTTCCCTAGCCATGCCAACGAAGCTATGGGATTCAGCCGGAAGGGAATGTGGACGCACATTCCTGTACCTGCAACGAGAACTGTTTTCAAGCTGCGACGCCACTTTCCACGCCTTGGTTCATTGTCCTTCATGCTACTTCCCCCAAAACAGGTTTCCTTCAGCCACTTGCAGCCGCCGCGGTTTTTGCAGCACCGCAGTCAAGTGAGAAACTCTTTTGTTCAAACATCTACACATTTGCGGACTCTCCACCTTGCCGTTCCCTCACCATTTTTGACCTGGGAATTGAGTTAACAGCAAACCAATGTCAGAGTGTGTGTGTCAACCTCTGTAACTAAGAGTTCCTTTTCTTTCTTTCACCTTCATGCAGGGGGCAGGAGTGCCATTGCAAGTCTCCTGCCAACGAAGACGCTTGCAATTGGCAGTGAAACCAGACCTGATCAGTCTGGCGTACCTGCATCGAACACACTGACCCAATGGTCCACCCTTCGCTGCGCTTTGTTTTCATGGTTTTTGCACGCTACTTTCCCACGAACAGGTTTTCCCTCCGCATTGCAGCTGCTGACTGCTTTCGCTTGAGCGCTTTTGAAACATTTGTTCAACATTCAGTGAATCGCGGACTTTGCCACCTTTCCGTTCCATCACCTTTTTCGACCTGGGAACTGAGTTAGCTGAAAACCAATGTCAGAGTGTGACTCGCTCAGTCGTCCCACATGGGTGCTGGGTGTGATCCTCCGCAAGGAGGCGCCGTTTTCACTCCGGAATTCGTGTAACTGATTCCACCGTTTCCACCATGCTTTGAATTCTCTTAGCTGAATCGGTTTCACTACTGGATTCTCAAAACACGATGCCGTCGGGCCCACGATTTTTTCCACTTGTGATCTCATTTGATGGATTCCGACTTCTTTCGCTGCCAGTGTTCAGTTTCAAGGCCACTTTCAACCTGTACGTCCTGAAGGGACACGCAGCAAGAGACTGCGAGCGATTTTTGAAGCCACAGAAAACAGCAGCCATTTTTCCACTAGCGCCGGAACCGGCTTCGTGTGTGTGTCAACCTCTGTAACTAAGAGTTCCTTTTCTTTCTTTCACCTTCATGCAGGGGGCAGGAGTGCCATTGCAAGTCTCCTGCCAACGAAGACGCTTGCAATTGGCAGTGAATGGTCCACCCTTCGCTGCGTTTTGTTTTCATGGTTTTCGCGTGCGACTTTCCCACAAACAGGTTTTCCCTCTGCATTGCAGCTGCTGACCGGTTTCGCTTGAGCGCTTTTGAAACGTTGTTCAACATTCAGTTGATCACGGACTTTGCCACCTTTCCGTTCCATCACCTTTTTCGACCTGGGAACTGAGTTAACTGAAAACCAATGTCAGAGTGTGTGTGCCCCTCTGTTTCTAAGAGTCTTCACATGCCACCACGCAATTGCAGGGGGCATGGTAGCTGTTGCCCTAGCCATGCCAACGAAGCTATGGGATTCAGCCGGAAGGGAATGCCTGCAACCGGAACCGGAACTTTTGATTACGCTGTGACTCCACTCTTCCTCTTTTGGTTCCATGGTCGTTTTGCGTGATACCACATGATACCACCCCACAAACAGTACTCTTCAGCAGCATTGCAGCTGCTGATCGCCGCTTTTGCTTGAGCGTTTGTGGAACATTTGTTCAACATTCTGTTGATCGCGGACTTTGCCACCTTTCCGTTCCATCACCTTTTTTGACCTGGGAATAGAGTTAACTGCAAACCCATTGTCAAAGTGTGCTGCTGCTGCGCCGTCCCACTTGGGTGCACAGTGTGACCCCCGTCGCCCCTGAACCAGGACGAAAAAGGGCACCCCCCCCAAACGAACATATGTTTCCAACAAAGTTTTGCATTTCAGGAGTTTTTGAAGAATGGACTGGTGCGTCAGTTTCACACCTGATGTGTAGATGTATCATCGTGACTGCAGTTGCTTTGAGGCTCAGATCCTTTTTTTTTGCATTTTTGCAGAGATCCCGATAGGCGCGCACACAACACTCGAGATAATAGTTCGCACTAAGGCCGCCCATTGCCCAGAAGAAACCAAAGTGATCAAGCTCTGCAGAGCTGGAAGGATTGAAGTGGCATGTTCAGGCTTCTTGAGATATCCAATGCATTCCGATACAGAATACATTATATATAGCTAGGATAGGCCTTGCCCATCTTCCAACCCTGAACCCCCAAACCTCACAGCCCCCCAAAATACACAGAAAAAAACAAAAACCAATCAGAACAACCAAGCACAAACAATTCATCAAAAATCAATCCAAAAACAATTCAATTTTTTCAACAATTGCTGAAAAATTGACAAGTCTTGTTGAACAATTGCCCGCCCAAATTTATGAAACAACAATCATAAAACAACTCACCAAAAATCAGGACAACAACTCACCACAAACTCAACCACAAAAAATTCTAATAGCATAACCTTGCCCCACTATAGTTCATCCCCAACAATTGTGTTATAATTTATATGGTGGTTTGTGGGGCATCGTGTCGAGACGAGGCTGAAGCGACGACCAAAAAAACACGCGAAGCGACGACAAAAAAGGCTCGACCAAACTCCCAGCTTCAAGCCACGAGCAAAAAAACACTTTCAGACCCCAACCAAAAACGAGCGACCCCGACCCAACCCCCCTCCAGACCCCCACTGCCTCTCCTGGCCTGAAGAAAGGACGACAGGTTCGGGCCCTCCCTCATCAAAAACCAGGACCACATCTTCTGAATCGATGGAACATCTTCTGAATCGATGGGGGTCTTGTTTTCGGCGCTCGCTTCAAAATTGGACCCCCGCCAGTTTTCAGCCCATTCCCAGGCCCCAGCCTCAGCAGCGGGTCACCGAAGTTCGCGCGCAGCTGGAGACAAGCGCGAAGATCTTCAACCATGCACGTACTGCAACACGCGTGGCCATCTGGCACGCCAACATGGTACCCCTGGTCCTGTTGGTCACGAGTGACCTGGTTCAACACATCTCGGAAAAGCGGCGCACGCGCAAGATCTTTGCGCTTTCTTCCCTTCGCGCGCAAGATTCCGAACATAAGCCCGTCCACCGTTGCCATTCCTTTGGCCCTTAGGTCTGCTTCTTGGCTCAAGCTCAGCAAGCTCTGGGTTCATCCCCTCAACGTCCTGCGCAGCCTTCTCACCCAAGGTCTGCTTGCCTTCAACTTGCTGCTGCAAGCAACACACGTCTTTCTGAGAAAGGGCTTCAAGACGATCATGAGGCTCACACGCCCCCTCATCCTGAACCTCCATCGCCTCCGGAAAGGTCTCAACCTTGCGGACCTTGCGACTCGTTTTCTTGGAAGGCGAGTCGACTTTTTTCACGACCTTTTTCCGAAGCTGCTGTGCTTCGGCTTCTGCGCAATC